CATTATGGCCGTCATCTTTGATTTAATGGAAGCAGAAGGCTGGGGAGAGAAAGAAATATTTATCAAGGGGAGTGACAATAAAAAAGTAAGGAAGGGGTGCCATCAACTCTAACCCCACGATCGCGCACTTCTTTTAACTCGCCCTAATAAAACGCTTACACTGCAGGTTATTTCATGGCTGAACTAAAAACAGCACGTTTGGTGGGGTGGCTTTAATGTCAAGCTCAGAAAACACCTGCGTCGGAAGGATTGTTGATATTTTTTTTATTTCTAAGAAAGAGCCTCATTTGTTTAGGAACAATTGCGAGGACTCACCTCTCCGAAATCGAGACCAATTAGCCATAATGCCCAATTAGCCATAACGCTCATAATTTGCCCAATTAGCCATAACGCTCGCGTTTAATTCTTGGGATTGCACTTCGAGGTTACGAGTTTAAAACAACGCAGGAAGATCAGCTTTTTATAGTTACAAGAGAACAGACCCTCGCTATGGCGTTGTGTGATGATGTTTTGCTGAACCAACGCTCGATACAGAGGAATTGATTGAATAATTGGAGCAAATAATCAAGCTTTACGTACAAAATTTACTACCAGACCTGAAGACGACGTTGAAGTACAAAGTTCACTCAATCTATTGAGCTTTATTTCAACAACAACAACAACAACAACAACAATAAAATTATTTACATGATAATGTGTTGAAATGGGAAGAATCCTCAAAAAGCGCCGCAGCACCATTCTAGGAGGAAACTCCAACCTATTTATAGACCTGCTAATGTACACACATAAAAGCTAAAAAAAAAAATCAAAAATGTATATACAGAAATTCAAAGATTTAAAAATGTAGAAACCTTCAACTTAAAATCTGCCACGGATGATGCTTCTCGAATATCAAGAGGGAGACTATTCCATTCCCCAACTATTCTCCTCATAAAGCTAAATTAAAATAAATTAGTCCTAGAAAAGCTGGTGAAAAGGTTTGGAGTATCCATACTTCTCAATACATATGTCAACATCCCTAGAGAACCGAACCCTAGAATCAATGGTCAGGCGAACATGATTACTAACCACCTTATAAAAGAAAACAACATCCGTAATAAATCTCCTATCCTCTAAGATAACAAGCGGAGTTCACGTAGGCTAACCAAATAATTGTCATAACTTTTAAGAATAAATTTGGTTGCCCTTCTTTGAATTGACTCTATACGACTAATGTTACTCTTCGTAGAGGGATTCCACACCTGAGAGGCATATTCAACCTTAGGCCTCACAAGACTACATTACAGAATCTTAAGAGTTGTGACATCATTGACATCCCGACATGTTCTTTTTATAAGGCCTAAAATACTATTTGCCTTAGCTGTAATATTGGTAATGTGGTAATTCCAAGAGAGAACATCACTAGTTAACAAGCCCAGGTCTATGCAAAGAAACCGAATCGAGCTTAGTCGCTTCAAGGAAGCAGTTTCGGTGCCCACAAGTCCATCGTTTTCACTACACATGACGAGCAATTCGTCTCTGTAGAGCTTGGTTTCACCAAGATTAAAGGTGCGAAGCGTACTTACCCAGTGAGGAGGAAAATTGACAAAGCGTTAAGGCCCAAGACATCGACGCCACTGGATTGAATTTAATTACCAATGCAGTCGCAGTGATGAAACATTTTGGAAAATATTTCAAGTTTTGCAAAAACTGCTAGAACTACTGTAACGTGTACACCGAGGTCACTGGATTAAAACAAGCCCGAAGCCTAACGGACGGGGATGAAGCGTCGATAGCGGCGTCGATTGCTGGCATCTGTCATTGTATTTCCCTCTGCCATTATGCGTTGACTTGCTGCAATTGTCAAAACCGCCGCCGGCCTTACTTGCATTTCCCGACTTGTTTCTTTCATTGACTTTTGCATTGTTTTCACGATCTGTTATCATTTAATCTGTAACCATGAGCGAGTCGGAACTTTGTGATTATCATCATTAGGAACCTAGTTGAAACCGAAAGCGGAAACGGAAAAAGATGTAGATTCCACGCCGTTGCATATGTTCAAATTATCAGTAACTTAATTGTAATAACATAAATAAACTCAGTTTTTCATATAGTTCATTTTTCTAGTGAACCTGTGAATTGCTTATTTTCTTGTTATTCTCTGTTTGTAACCCTCATTGAGCAAACAAGACCTCCGGTCTTTTTCTCAAATCTTGTTTCCCTATCAGTTCATCAAAAAATATGTAGCTAGGAAGACGAACATTAAAATGCTTCAAAAAAAATTTATAATCAAACGTTGAGGAGTTCCTTTTTCCGTGTTCACAAAGCCATAGCTAAACATACAGCAGGGATAGGAGAATTTGAAACAGGTATAAAAAATTTCGATTGCGTCTCAGGTTTGCAGCAGACTGCGAACCGCGGCCTTTTGATAGTAATATGAGGAATGTTTCCAGTAACCAGTTTTATAAGAGCTTCAGGAGGCATCGGTAATGATTGTTGTTGATTGACAACTTCAAAGTACCGGTTGGTTCACAAAATCAATTCATTTTTCCCTACACTTGTCCTCACGGAAGACTGTTCAAAACGTCATACGTACAAACTCATCATCTCGGGCATATGGCGCCATGTCACTCACTTGACCCAAACTTTACCTGGATGTCCACGTATGTAACGCAAAGCATAAATAAACAAATACAGCGCTTACGCCACTCCAGATGTGGGAGGCACAATGGATGCATACTGGACGCTATGTGTCCCTTGGAAATTGGTGGTGTGGCTTGCTTGTCGAGAAAACAGAAAACAGAAAACATCTGCCTTACGACGATCATTGATATTTTCGTATTCTGAGCAAAGAGCCTCCTTTACTCAGAAACAATAGTAAGGATGAATTTCTCAGAAATTGAGACCCATCCAATCGCATCACACCAACTCGCCTAATTAGCATAACGCTCGCATTGAATTTCTGGGCTTTTTCTTAAGTTAAAAACGACGTGTTAAGACACTATTTTTAAAGTTCCAGGAGGACAGACTTTCGCCATGTCGAGCGGGTTGGATAATTTATTTGCTGAAGCAATGCTCGATCAAGACGAGCATTTGGAGATGTACAAACAGCAACTGACTAAACTAAAAGAACAGGGTTTACTACCAAACATGAGCGTGAGGTTGGAGTATAAAGTTTACTCGATAAAATCAAGCGGTTTTTGTGCCCACAAATCCATTGTTCTCACGACAACTGATCAGCATTTCGTCTCTGTAGAACTTGGCTTCATCATATTTGACGGTGTAAAGCATACTTGTCCAGTGGCGAAGAAAGTTGACGAAGCTAATAAGAGCAAGATGAAGTTTCTCGGACGAGTCTTCACCACTGGAGATGAGCTGATTGTTAAGGCCATAAAGGCGATGAAACGTTTTGGAAGGTATTTTAAGCTTTCCAACAACTGCCAGGACTACTGTAACATATACGCAGAGGAGATTGGATTAAAACCAGCCAAAACGGACAGGGATAAAGTGATAGCTGGAATCATGATCACCGTTATCATTGCAATTGTCTTTGCTTTTATATCGCCGTTTGGTGAAAAAAATCCCAAATGAATGCTGTGACAGACTGGAAACAAAAGCACCCAAAAAGTGCATATGGTGAGTTTACAAGAAAGTTTCCGAAAAGTCACAGAGCGATACAAAACCGATGGTAACCATCCACACCACAGGCGGCCTAAAAAAACAGTACGAGATAATTATTCTGTCTGCATCAATTATTCTGTCTCTATCAATTTCCGTATGCAAATGTTTTCAAATTCAAATATGGCCTACCCAAATTATAGTATTTTCCATTCGTACATCATTTTTCATCCGATTGTTGCTCAGAATTTGCATCCTAACCGCATGATCTTTGTTTTCAGGTTTTTATCCAACTGGTAATGGGAAACAAACCCGGCTCTCAGTATTCTGCCTCAAGACGCAGAATTCATTTCTTGTGATCGCAATTTTTGTTTTAGAGTGAAATTAAAGATGTGGAGCAGCGAATTTTACGAATTATAATTTTAGAGAAGCATAGGATTATGGAACTTGAGAACTTGAGAACTTGAGACAGAAATTATGAACTGGACGCTGTTGATGCCCACAACTAGCGGAGCATGTTTTTAGTCATGTTTTTTACCTCTGTAAGTTTACTTCGCTGCGTAACAAGTAGTTTTATTTGCTCTCTAAACAAGACCTCCTCTAGCTTTATCGTTCTATTTGAGGGCCAGTCCAATGTAACATTGTCGAACGTACGAAACAAATGATAAAGATCATTATAAGTTCGCTTTCAATGCTCCGTCGATTAATGCCGCAAGGTGCACGCACGCACGCACGCACACACGCAAAATCGCAAAACGACCCAGCTGAGTCTCATTTTGTTGCTGATTCTCGTCTCCTTTTCCCGCAGTTCAAAATATTTCTCCACTTTTCCTTCTTAAATAAAAACCAACCATTCATATCTCAGTTCACCCTGGACTAGCTAGAACCTCACCACTTCCAGATACCACTTATGTTATCGTGGCAGTTTATTTTTCCACTTTATTTTAGGTGATTCCTCAGCATTGCACTGTGCATCCTGTACTGCGCATAAAAATCACGAATTCTGGCGAATAAGCGCGCGCGCATTCCGAGAACATGGTGGTGTTTTTTATTGATGGAATAGGTAAAGGTCCCACGGTCTTTCGCTCTTGAACGAGCACGGTGACATATAATTTTTTTTGCATAATTTTGCTGTACAAATTATCCCTAAAAATTGGAGAAGTCAAAAAAAATTCATCGAAGGAAAAGTATTCGATTAAGCTCCTCTGACCCAATTATGAAAGAGGGTCTCAAAGGGATGATGGTTAAAATGGTTATGAAACTTAAAAATTGGACGATTTACGGCTTACCGCTGATATCATTAAATTTATTATTGTAAGTGAGGTGGCTCTCCCATAAGCCTTGTGGCTTCTTGGGTCTCCTGGCCTTCTAACTGTTATCGCTGTAATTAACTATTTTTTAATTGTTAAAATAAAGCAAATAAAGATGATGATGATGATGATGATCGTTCCACTGTGGTCACCACAAAATTTCTTTTCATATAGTTAGCTTTTTTTACGACTAACAGTTAAAATTTTTCAATTCCTATACCTACCGTCTAAATTTTACGGTTTGAGACACGCATAATGGAGAAAATGTTAACGACTTTGATCGATACTGCAGGCTCGAAAAAATGATAAAATCTATAATATAAGTGATAAATATAAAATTTGGAGTGCTGTAGCATCAAAGAATTCAGTGATCATTGCAGTTGACTTTAATCTGCGTAGCCCAGTTAGCCTGCCAGACGATTTGAAAATACAGTTCAGTAATCTACTCGAAAAACCATGCCGAGGAAACAAAAGTGAAAGTGCCTTGTAAAACAAGAGTATTTTGATCATTCATATCTTGATGATAAAAGCTATGATAATAATAACGTTATATAAATCAGTTTCAATTATGATGATACTAATGAGTGTGTTCAGTGGCAATCTTCTTTAGATTATCACTGCCACCCTTATTTGAATTGGAGATATCAATTACAATAACAATAATTAAAAAAAAGATTGCCAACACACTTAGAGTATTAGGACTACTCAATATAAATTCATAATTTCTAAAAGTTTCGATTCTGTATCCAAATTGCAAACTCTCGCGGAACTGTTTGTGAAAACAATGCAATTTACCATAGCTTCTGTAAGTTTACTTTCCTCCAGATCTTGGTTTATGCGGCTGATATAACAATCCAAAGTCAAGAGCTTCAGGGAATTTGTTGGTTTTTCTTCAGACTAAGGAAAGATCTCCTTAAAAATTTTATGGGGCTTAATCGTTAAATAATGTTACTATTTACAATAATGTCCTATTTTTACATTGTATGATCACCGAACTAAACCCTTGTGTTTATTATTTGGTTACTGTAGACACTCAAGGGTGTCTTCCGGAAAAGTGTTCGTGCGCGCGTCGGTTGTGAAGTATAAAGGAATCATCATGATTCCCATTAGGCTGACGTGGACCTTCAGGGGTGTCATGCGGAAAATCGTTCGTAAGGGCGTCGCGTCCTTGGAAAAGCATATATCGCCGTAAATAATAGCAATGTCGAAGCATTAGAGGGAGTATTTTAGTAAATACATCCTACCTAGCTTTTTGGGTGGGTAACCGATAATTTTCGTGGCTAGCCTGCAGAGCAGGCGTAATTTTGGCGAGCGAGTGCTCAGTATTTTCTTAGCGAAAATTATGGCCGTCATTTTTTATTTCAATGTAAGTTAATGGCTGGGAAGAGAAACAAATTTGTACCAAGGGGGTGAGTGACACTTCTTTTAACTCGCCCCTGAATGAGACACCTGCACTGCAGACTATTTCATGGCTGAACTTAAAACATCACGTTTCATGATAACCGTACCATCAAAAGCTGATATTCTTAAGTAATGAAACTTCTTGGAAGTAAACAATATATGTATGTTCCCCGGAAATTGGTGGGTGGCTTGCGTGTCGATCTCAGAAAACATCTGCGTCTGAAGGATTGTTGATATTTTCTTATTTCTAAGAAAGAGCCTCATTTGTTTAGGAACAATTGCGAGGACTCACTTCTCCGAAATCGAGACCATCCAATCGCATCGCACCAACTTGCCCAATTACCATAACGCTCGCATTGAATTTCTGGGATTGCACTCAGGTTACGAGGCTAGAACACGTATGAAGATCAGCTTTTTATAGTTAAAGGAGAACAGACCCTCGCTATGGCGTTGTGCGATGATGTATTTGCTGAACCAATGCTCGATACAGAGCAATATTTGGAGGAATACAAGCAGCAACTGATCAAGCTTGACAAAGAAAATCTACTACCAGACTTGAACATGAAGTTGAAGTATAAAGTTTACTCGATTCGAGGAAGTGGATTTGGTGCCCACAAATCCATTGTTCTCACTACAAATGACGCGCAATTTGTCTCTGTAGAGCTTGGTTTCATCAAAATTGACGGTGTCAAGCATATTTATCCCGTGACGACGAAAGTTGATAAAACTCTGAAGCCTAAGATGGAATATCTTGGGGAGATCGAAGACACTGGTCAGAATTTAATTGGCCAAGCAGTTGCAGTGATGAGACGTTTTGGAAACTATTTCAAGTTTTGCAACAACTGCCAGAACTTCTGCAACATGTACACCGAGGCTATTGGATTAAAACGAGCCCGGAGCCTAACGGACAGGGATAAAGTGGTGATAGCTGGAATGATCGGTGCCATTATTGCATTTCTCTTTGCCTTCATGCGTTAACTTGATGGAATTGTCAGAACCTCTGCAGATGTTACTTGTATTTCTAAGTTTGTTTCTTTCATTTACATTTTAAGATTTTAGCTGTAACAATTACGGAGTTGGAACTTTTTGAACCTAACCGAAACAGAAAGCGGAAACGGCCATTGAAGACGTTGATTCAACACCGTTGTTTGATTTCTAATGGTGAGCAAAGTTGTTGTAATAATATAATTAAACTCAGTTTTTCATAATTCTAATCAGAGAATGTTTAGAAATACATTTGATAATAAAAATTAACGGTAAAAAACTACGACGTTTCGAAGTCTGCATGACCTCATTATCAAGTAAAATGTTAAAACTGATGTAAAATTGTAGCTCAGAGATTATATACAAATAAAATGTGATAACTTCATTGGAATAATGAGCGTTCATTGTTATTGGTGTTTAGCATGTCCGATCGTGCAGTATATGTTTAAATAAATACTTTTGCACGTATTGAGTCAGACTGCGTGTTTAGCTTTGGTTTTTGTTCGCGAATGAATAGCATTTCGTGAATTAGGCAGTCCATTTTTCCGCGGCATTTCTTGAGAACGGAAAACATTTCCTCTAGGCTAGTGGACGCTACACTGTGGGCTTCTTTCAGATGCTTGCCAATGACAGAGGCTTTATGTTCTTCTATGCGTTGATGAAGATGGCGTGTGGTATAACCGATATAATCCGCATCGCACGAATCACATTTAAAAGTGTAAACAACGCATTGGTGGTTAATTAAAGCGGGCTTCTCTTCTTGTATCTTGAGCTTTCCCTCGATCTTACGACTCGTGAAAACTGGTTGTAGGTCAGTTCCGATTTTCCGGCCAAGATCTTTCAGCTGATGTCTTACTGTGTCGGCCGATTTTTGGTCTTTAAATGGTAAAGTTATTCTGACAGGTTTTTGTGTAGCCGCGTCAAGTTCAGTTGGGGTTTCGTGACGGCTTTGGATCGTAGAACTCGTGTACCAGGCGATAGCTGAGTTGATGAGTTTCACTGGGTACTTAAGCTTAGTAAACATCCGCTTGAGATGCTGGCATTCCTTCGTAAAAGATTCTTTCGTTGATGACAGGCGGTAAGCTCGGTTCAGCATTGTATTCAGCAGAGATCTTTTGTAACGCTGATCGACATGGCTCTGGTAATGTAAGAGCAGTCCTGTATCAGTTGGTTTATGATATACGCTTGTTGTCAGGTGGCAACCGTTTTTCTCAATCATCATACCGAGGAATGGAAGCTTGTTGTTTTCAGCAATTTCCATTGTGAACTGTATGGCAGGATGGCATTCGTTCAATGTTGAAAGGAAAGCTGTTGCGGCTTGAATATTTGGCATCGTGGCTAATGTGTCATCGACGTACCTTTTGTAGAAACTTGGTAACTTGTTGTTGCGATCCAGTTGTTCTTCAATGGAGCACAGGAAAACGTTTGCCATAAGGGGTCCCAGGGGCGAGCCCATGGCCACACCGTCCACCTGCTCATAAAGTTGACCGTCGAACTGAAATAGCTGATCTTTGGTTGCTATTCTTAAAAGTTCGGTAAGACCTGTCTTTGTGAGGTTGAGACCATGCGTTTCATTAAACCAGTTGTTTTTAAAGGCTTTTTCAGCGATGATCTCAATA